TCGCATCGACCTCCGCTACGTGTTGGTCAATAGTCTCTCTGTTACTAAGTTTTCGTGCATATGAGGTATCCTCGTAATAACCTCATAGTATAAAACATTAATGCTTTTACAGTACATTTTGTGATTTGATGATTTTAAGGCATTCGTGAGGGAAAAAAACGCTATGTCTAGTTTTGGACTCCATGAATTGTGAAAATTTACAAGATGTGGTTTAATAAATTTCTGTCAAAAATCATACATGTATGCAAATGTATGCTATATAGCATATTTGTATTGCACAATCTTTTCACCACATTTGCTCTATTAGAATTGTATCTTCAATAGAAGCACAGAAAAACTAAAAATTGCATTTACTGGTATTGTAGGCTAGATCATAATATGTCATATTGTTACCATAGAAACACCTCTGTCATTTACATAAGTAATAATAATAGAGCAAATACAGTACATTGGAAGTGTAATACCGGTACATAATAATGTTACAATTTTATTTTCACTTACTTTAAAAGCTATCGGTATACCAACTCAAAACTCATTAGTTTCGTTACATATACATGTATTCTGTCAGGGCTCTTTACAAATTTAAGCACTTTTACAGTAAAAAAACATTTATCATATTATCATAGATATCACTTGTTTTGGTTTACACATTTGCATATCTGAATATATGATAACATATTTGTGATTTGTAATGGAATGACTATTATGGCATGAAACTGCTTCCCTGAGTGTTCTCATTGGTTGATTAATACCATGTGATTCCCGGTTATAATACAGGGCAGAGTTTTATGACAATGCACGAATGCTGAAACAACAATGACTGAGAATTAGCATTGTTTGTCCACATTCATAAGAATTGCTTATGAACAACAAAGCTATTATGATTCGTTTACATTAAGAAATCCTAGTTATTTCATCTACAAAATTCCCTATTTTTGAGTGTTGTTGACTCGTGATATCCTAACCATAAGATCAATTTTGTTTCTCGAGCATACTCAGTCATGCATAGATAGACAAATTTTGTTCAAACTTGTTACTTGTATTAAACATAGGAATCATTTTTTTTTTCATCAGATCAGATAAAAAATTGTTGATCGGTGGCCGTTATTGTTTTAATTAACGCAGTGTCAAAGCAGATCATACAAAGTGTGAATGCAACTTTGCACATTATGGTTAACATTTGACATGCACTATATTTACCGTAATCCCACTATAAAATCTGTGGAGTAGTATTTACCCAGGCAGACTGCCACAATGATAAAAATAGATTCAAAGAATGTCCAGTTGTCTTTTTAGCTTCGCTGTCGACTTTGTCGAGCGGAGCTTATCATATGAGTGATTGTCCGTCATCGTCCGTGTCAATGTTTTACTTTTTCGACTTCTTCTTGAAAACTACAAGCCTGAATGCTTTGATACTTGGTGTATATGTACCTTGGGTAGACCTCTCTTAGGTTTGTTCATTTCATGATGATATCTTCAATTCTCTAATTTTGGTGAATATTTTTGTCATTTTTGGTAAAAAGTGATATTTTTGACTTCTTGTTAAAAACCGCAAGTGCAATTGCTTCGAAATTACATATATAGGTACTACATGTGGACCGCTCTCAGATTTGTTCATTTTGTATTGATATCTTTAATTCTCTAATTTTGGTGAATATTTTTGTCATTTTTGGTAAAAAGTGATATTTTCGACTTCTTGTTGAAAACCGCAAGTCCAATTGCTTTGATACTAGATATATAGGTACTACATGTGGACCTCTCTCAGATTTGTTCATTTCGTGATGATATCTTCAATTCTATAATTTTGGTGAATATTTTTGTCATTTTTGGTAGAAAGTGATATTTTCGACTTCTTGTTAAAAACTGTAAGTCCGATTGCTTTGATACTATACATATTGTTCATTTTCTAAAGATGTCTTCAGTTCTTTAATTGAAATGTGCATTGCTAACAGCGGAGCTATCTCAGCCGATAGGCTGCTTGTTTACTTATATACTATCGTATATATTGTATATATGCACATTATGTAAATTACTATTTTTTTCGTAAAAATAAGTCATATTTAAATGATTCAACATAAAATAAGTGCAATATTGTGCTCTTGTATTAAAATTGGGCTTCTAATAGAGTAAATACTGCTTGTAACTACTGCGCATATTATAAGCTTAAACATTTGTATTTTTCTAATAGAGCCAGTACAGTAATACACATGAGAATAGTCCAAAATATTGTTGTATACAATACATGTATATTGTGTGTTTGTATTCAATGAATGTAGTTATGACTGTAATTGACCATATTGTGTCGTAAATTTGTTTCAATTATGAAAATTATGCCCTTGTCAACTGACGTGCAGATAATATATCGAGTACATGTATATTGTGTAGCTGTAATATTTAGATACCAATGTTTCTGTTTCATTTTGCAAATGAAAAACTTTATTATTTTTTCAGTATGTTAATATTATTTTATAGATATCGGTACATGTATGTATGATGGTTTAAAATTTAAAAGATTCTGCTCATATTAAAAATTAGTGCTTGTCTGTGAAAAATTCCAAACCTGATCACTATATAATTGTTTTTTTTTCTATTCTGTAATAAGGTCTGAAGGCAGTTTGACCCAAATTCCAATGTTACACTACTGTGCATGTTGCTCTGCATATATTGCAGTGCATTGTGGGTAACAATGTCCTTGAATATTATTGGAAAATATTATCACTCTGGAAACTTGCTATTATAAAGTATTGTTAAATAATTTTTTTAATTATATTACATACCATGAACTTTTTTTTCATTTCATGTCACCAAGCAACAAGACATACTGTACATGAATGAAAATATGAAAAAAAAATGAGAAATAATATTAATTTGATCTGAGCCTCCTCAGCAACATTTGATTGTGCCTATTATCACATGTATGCATGGTAATAATTTCTAATTATTGGCGTCTTCTCAATTTGTAATATGAGAAATCAATTTTACATGCCTTGAAATACATGTTATAAATTATCATTTCTGTATTTCTTACTGCTATGTTCATTTGACCTGAAATGATATTTGCTATTTGTGGTATGG